CTAGACATCAGTATTCCTTACAACTTGCAGCTAATCAAATCACCCATGCTTTCCTTCTCAACAGGTCTTAGAAATCTTCCCTCTATCCTTTCTCAACCCTGGTTCTCTATCTGGGTGAGGAACAGTGTACTCAATGATTTTGTCTCCAGATACCCGCTCTGGGCTATGACCCATCTTTGGGGAACCTTGACTGACTTGGACATTTACTTCTTGGTAGACCTCTCTACCTGCTTGAGGGATGAACTTCTTTTCTTTTTGTTGCTTCTGTGTGATAGATTTTTTGCTCATCATAATGTAAAATTGTTAGTGTTCAAATCTTTGGTTATTATATATGTACAAATCCTAAGTGAGTAACATAATATTTTTTATTGAGTGTTGTGTCATGTTTGTTTTTTAACCCAATGACAAGTATACTGATTGTAGAATTAGTGTTTTTGGTATTTTCAAAAGTGGTGCTACATTTTTTTGTTCAGTTACACTTCTAAGTTTCAAAACAGCAATGATTGTGCTATTATTATTTTAAACTTTTCAGTGTAAACTACCACAGAGTGCAATCAACAAGTATGCTGTAATATGGAGAAGAGTTTTCTTCTGATGGGTACTTGACTATGTCCTTGAAAATACAGCAAGTCCTTTGTCATTTGAAAGAAAATTGTGTTAATGAAAGCTGCCAATTAAAATCTCCTAAGAGACTGTTGTTCCAAGGAGTGTATTTCTCAGTGGCAAAAAGCCTTTCTGGTTTTTATATTCTTGTGGGAGGAGGTCATTTTTATATGGCCTGCTCAACTCTGACATTTGTATATGTAGTATGTTCTGCTGGGATTATTGATGATTCCCTTTTGGTTCCTTCTCTCCAAATAGTCATTTTAATCTATTCAGTGTGTATTATGAAGTGGCATTTAGTAAATGCTAGCCTGATAGTATGCGTTGGCATGGTGTTGTCATGGCTATTTGGTCCCCTCAACAACTAAATCTTGAATTAGACAATCCTTGATCAGATAGTTGAAGGATTGTAAGCCAGTTTTATAGAGTGTTTCAAGGAGGAGGGAGTGGTCAGTAGTACCAAATTCTGTGATAGATCAGGAAGATGTCTCATGTGAGGAACATTGCTTAAGCAACATGGGGGGACTGTTGGTGACCTTGATGGACAGTTTTGGGAATGTGGTGGAGAGGGAGCCTGATTGGCATGAGGTTTTGGGAGAAGAATCTGTGACCAGAATCTTTAAAAAATTTTGCTGTAAAGAGGATCAGAAAATTGGTATAGTAACTAGATGGTAAAGTAGTGTCAACAGAAGGCTTTGTACTGTTAGTTCAGCACAGTGGTGGGCAAACTTTTTGACTCGAGGGCCACAATGGGTTCTTAAACTGGACCGGAGGGCCGGAACCAAAGCATGGATGGAGTGTTTGTGTGAACTAATATAAATTCAAAGTAAACATCATTACATAAAAGGGTACGGTCTTTTTTTTTTTTTTTTTAGTTTTATTCATTTCAAATGGGCCGGATCTGGCCCGCGGGCCGTAGTTTGCCCACGGCTGGTTTAGCATGTGTAAAAATAAAGTTTTAGCACCTTTTAATGGCTCAGAGTTGACATCTGAGTACTATTTTCCATATAGTGAAGTCAGAGATAGACTTCTAACCTGGCTTGTGGTTTCCCAGTCAGGCAGAGCTCTTGAAGAGGCAGATGACTGAGTAGTCTTGATGGATGGGAAGGGTTAACTTGGAGGTTTAAGTGGGGCTCTGGGCACTCGGTAAGGTGGAGAGGGTACAGTTATGCAGGGCTTAAAACTGGCTGTGAAAGGTAAAGTGATGGGGAAAAGTCTGGAGCAAGTTCTGAAGTGTGTGTGTGTGTGTGTGTGTGTGTGTATATTTATATTTATATTTATATTTATATTTATATTTTAGTTCAGAGGTTGAAAAAATCTTTAGGTGGAAATTTATTTCAAAAGAGAAGTTCCAAATTTTAAATAAAGGCTATAGGTTATGCTCTCATGGAGAGAGTGAGGAGGATGAGGAACCTTAAAGTTTTTCTTTTTTTTAAACCCCATTTTAGTGTTCAGTCTGCTTCTGTGAGTATAAAAGTGTTTCAGAAATGAAAGTTACTATTAGTTGATTAGGTAATCCACAGCTTGCTTGGGGGAAAAGAGGGCAGGATGGATGTTTTAAAACAGTGATCACCAACCATTCGGACCTTGCGGACCACTGGTTGGCGACCGCTGCTCTAAAGGTTTCCTTAAATCAGCGGTTGGCAACCTTTTGGACCTCACGGACCACCAGTGATCCACAGACCACTGGTTGGTGACTGCTGTTTTAAAGAGGCTAGGGAATGATGATTAGGAGACACCTTTTCTTTGAGGACCCCCAGGATATTAATTTCCCCTCAGAGTTAATACCATCTATATATATAAAAGCCTAAGGGACCACTGCAACCAAATGGACGACTGAACAGGCTGCATGGGGCGACCAGGCTGGCAGAGAGGTTAGTGAGGGACGACCAAATGACTGAGCAGCAGACTGTGGCAGCAACCACAGCCAATAAGGAGGGAATATACTAATTGACTACCACACCCTCAAAGATGGCAGTGCCCACAGCCAATAAGGAGCCAGTCCCCTCAGCCCCCCAGCCACCTAGGTCTGGCCCGAGGTTCAGGCAAGCCTCAAACCGCCCCTGAGGGCTCGCGGACTGTGAGAGGGGGCAGGCCAGGCTGAGGGACTCCCCCCACCTCCCCCCTTACCAGTGCATGAATTTTCATGTACCGGGTCTCTAGTCCTATATAATAAAGAGGTAATATGCAAATTGACCCTCACGCCCTCGCGTGACAAGATGGCCACCCCCACAGTGTCACAAGATGGCCAGCAGGGGAAGGCAGTTGGGGGCGACCAGGCCTTCAGGGGAGGGCAGTTGGGGGTGATCGTGCTGTCAGGGGAGCAGTTAGGCGTCAATCAGGCCGGCAGGGGCGCAGTTAGGAGGCTGTCAGGCTGGCATGCAGAGTGGTTAGCGCAATCAGGCAGCCAGGTACGTGAGTGGTTAGGAGCCAGCAGTCCTAGATTGTGAGAGGGATGTCCCCCGAGGGGTCCCAGATTGGAGAGAGTACAGGCTGGCCTGAGGGACAACCCCCTCCCCCCAGTGCACGAATTTCATGCACCGGGCCTCTACTTTGGTATAGAAGAGTAGGAGTATAGTTCGTTTGGGCCTTTGTTCTTTGATGGTTCAACAAATCTAGAAATGACAAATTGTGGAGCATCTCAGACTCACACAGCAGGTTTCCTAAGGGCTGTCTGGATGACATTGGAATCAGGGGATCATGTAGAGGCTCCGTGAATTCAGGGGATGCCAAGGTATGTGTGTGTATGTGTGGCATGTGGTGTGTTGCATGTGTGTTTTATAAACTTAATCTGTGTTTTGGATGAACAGCTGATTTGAGCACTGAATCTCCTTTTAAGGAAGTCCAGATCTGGGAGCAGAGTAAGTATAGGTTATTTGAATGGTGGTTTTTATGTTTAGTAACTTCAAGAATTAGGGTCTGAGCTGCTTTCTGTACTGGTTAAAAAATGACGAGGATTGGTAATTATACAGTTTTTACAACTGTTCCATTTTACTAACTCTTAGGCATAGCTTTGTTAGAGATTCTCTTGGATCTCTTGTTAAGGATATGGATTCCTTGGCCTCAACCCTGGAAGGTCTGTTTAAGCCAGGAGATCTGGGGTGGGGTTCAGGAATGTGTATATAACTATGATTAATCTTTTGCCTTTTCCCTCCCAGCCTTTCCTTTAAGAAAGAATAGTACTTAACATCACTTTAAATTGGAAAAATGGACTGTTAACTTGAATTGAACTTTTTATTAGTAATTCCGTGTTGTGGATAATTCAGTAGTTAAAGGCAAAAGATAACAATTTAGTACATTTTTATTTGAGTATACAAATGAGAATGATTGTGGAACTTTAAAAACAAATAACTATGCCCTGGCTTGGGGTTGCTCAGTTGGTTGGAGCATTGTCCCATACACGAAAAAAGGTGCAGGTTCAATTCCCTGTTAGGGCACATACATAGGTTGTGGGTTCTATCCCTGATTGGGGTGCGTGTGGGAGGCAACCTGTTGATGCTTCTCTTTCACATCGATGTTTCTCTTTTTCTTTCCTTCCCTCCCTACCTCTTTATCTCCTCCCCTTCCTCTCTCTCTAGTCAATAAACATATCCCCGGGTGAGGATTAAAAATATACAAACCCCAAAACTAAAGAATTATGTTCTGTAAATAATTTCAAAACATGTTTTTTGTTACAGTATATATATGTATATATGTATACACACAATACATATCCTGTGTAGAAGTGTATAAGATTTAAAATGAAATTTTTTACTTCCAATTCCACTTTTCAGTGATAACCACTGGAAATTTTGGTGTGTATTTTTTTTTTTTTGGACATTTTTTTAATCCTCATATGAGGATATGTTTATTGATTTTAGGGAGAGGAGAAGAGGGAGGGAGAGACAGGGACAGGGAGAGGAAGAAACATTGATTTGAAAGAGAAACATCTATTGGTTATGCTCCCCGAACCCATAATCTAGGTATGTGCCCTGACTGAGAATCAAAACCTCAGTCTTTCAGTGTACAGGACAATGCTCCAACCAACGAGTGCTCCAACCACACTGGCCAGGAATTTTGTTGGTCATTTTTATATGCACATATACAAGTGTATGTAATTTTTCCCTTCCAAAAATAGGCTCAAACCACACACATTGGTCTGAGCTTGCTCACTTATAGTCTTCCATGTTATTCCAGTGTATTCAGGCCTGTTATTAGTAAGTACTTTGGGCAGCCAGGGTATGCCACCTCTTTTTATTCAAATATGCTGTGACATTAGTGTTTCAGACATACACTATATGTTGCTTGTTTATTAGAATATGTTTTTTTATAACAGGAAGTTCTTGCAGTTAAAATTGTTGGATTTCCTTTTTGTGATGCTAACTTGATGCATTTGATATTTGTGTTCTTTTGTACAGGATCCAAGCTACTGGATACAGGTGCATCGACTGGAACATGGAGATGGAGGAATACTGGATCTTGATGACATCCTCTGTGATGTAGCAGATGATAAAGACAGAGTGAGTTCAAGTCCAGGGAAGCTGCTCTGAGTGCCAGTTATGAAGACTGGGGAGGGAGTGGGTAGTTGGGAATACTTTCCTTTCTGTTTTAGACACACATATTTTAAAGAACATTTGGGCCACTCACTTTGGATGTTTGTTATTTAAGTATTGTGAATTTTCACTACCCTGAACCCTAAGGTATAATGCTTTCCTTAATACCTGGGATGCAGTACTAAGTTTTGGAATTTTAAAATTGCAACTTTTTAAGTGGATAGATCTTTAAAAGGTGTCCGTATCTTCCCCCCCCCCCCATTTTAACCAAACATGGCATCTTTCCTGACCACTCAAGTCACTCATTGTGGTCATTATGTGTTTCAGTGTGCGGTACGCAGGTTTCTGAGTTCTGATCCCCACTTTGGCTCAACCCCAATAGCTGGCCTGTGTGAAGCACTACCTGGCTATAAAACCAGTGTGCATCCCTGGCATCTCCCTTGTGTCCTGGGCTCTCAGAAAGCCATCTTTTCCTTCATGTTACTTGGGTGCTTTTACTGGAATGCTGTTTTTAAGGAAGACTCTGATTTTGGCATGTTGAATGTGGCCACCCACAGGCACTTCATCATTTGCTTGTACTCACCCTTTTGACTGCACTCTAAGGGAAGGAGGGGGAAGCAAGAGAGGAGTAATGACAACATTTTAAGACTTTGTGAGAGGATATTTGTCTCTGCATATAAAAGTCAGCAATTTTTAAAAAAGTATCTTATTGATTTCAGAGAGGAAGGGAGAGGGAGAGAGATAGAAACACTGATGAGAAAGAATCATTGATTGGCTGCCTCCTGTATACCCCCCAGTGGGGGTTCCAGTGGGGGTTGAGCCTGGTTATGTCCCTTTACAGGGAATTGAACTGTGACTTTCTGGTTCGTAGGTTGACGCTCAACCACTGAGCCAAGCAGGCTGTGCATCAGCAAATTCTTTATTGTAATGAGGTGATGTGACTTGAATAGGCTTTGGCTACACCCTCTTTTGAGTTTACTTATAACAAATTATAGAAAGGCTCAGTGCATACACAGTTGTGTCATCATGGCCATGTAATAGCACAAGTTAGATAAAACCACTGAGGATATGTCCTGGGGTTGATGGTAAAATCGTCTGGGCTCTGGTCCTGCTGAGAGCTCTCTCTTATTACTGGTCCTTTGCCTCATCCTCCATCCCCCTCTTTGCTTGGCTGTGAGCTGGGTAAGCATAGCTGTTATGTCTTGTTTACTCCTACATTAACATGGTTCCTGCCTCAGAAATGGCGGGTATCGTATCATATGTTTTCTTGAAATCTTAAGAAAAATGAAAAATTTCAGGTACCAAATACTATGCACATCGAGGGATATCTGATTCTGTTGTTTCTGTGTGCCAGGAGCACATAGTGTCAGAAATGCAGAAATTTCCTGCCCATTTGTGATTTTCTGTCATATATCTCTTTTGGGCTTTCCAGTGAGCCCAGGAATAGGTGACTCCCAAATTCTTTGCCTGCATTCCACATTAAGACTTAAATTATAGTCAATTTATTGTGCAGTTCAGCTCCAAAGCTTAAGGCAACTACAGAGATTTATGGAGGTTTTAAACAGGTACCCTTCCCCAGACATAATAAGAGATGAACTAATGTTGTGTTGATCTTTCATTATTTTCCTCTTTTCCCTTCCTTTTCCTATTTGTTAGTTCTTTCTTTGACTCTCTCTGTTTTTATTTTTCCTTTTCTTTTCTTCCTCCTCCCCTTCCCTTTCTCCCCCCCCTTCCCTCATTCTGTTCTTGTATTTTTTTCTTATATAAAAATAAAATAGCTCCTTATCAGGAAAAATAAAATGTAAAGAAGGAAATAATCACCGGTAATCCCATTGTTACTCAGAGCTCATCACTGTTGGTATTTGAGTGGCCTTTATTTTCTGACCTTTCTTTATCTTGAGATATAGACACATTCATACTTTTTGTTTTAACTTTTTGCCTTTCAATAAAAGGAATGAGAACCAGTGTATACGGTTGCCTCTGAGGTATGTTTAGCTCTGCTGTATTGCTTGGAATAACCTACTGTGGATGTTAGGTGGTTGTATGAATAAGGTTGGTGGGACTGTGACCAGTGCTTCTGAGAACAATGAGCTAAATGGACTCATTACGTTCAGCAACATGCAGTAATGCTTTGTAGGTTTACAAAGTACAGATTATGCTTCCTCACCCTTCTTCCCTGCACCTCCAGTCAACATACACACTTAAATAGAGTCTGCATGGTGGGTAGGTAAAATACTAAGATGAAGATGTGCAGCAGTATGATTATAAAAATCTTCTGAAAAGTTTTGAGATTAATTTTATGCCCCATAGATGACATTTTTGGCTGATGTTCCATATATAGTTGAAAATAATGTATATCTTGCAATTGTTGGATTCAGTGTTCTATAAAGATGAATTGGGTTAGGTGGTTGATATTCTTGTTAGATCTTTGGGATAATTTGTTACTCAGTAACTGAAAATAATATACTCTTCTATAACACAATTAACTATTAGATCACACACAAAAACTAAGGATAAGACAAATTGATCTTCTAAAATTGTTGCATATTATATTCATAAGTTATTTAATAAATAGTGTTTTAGATTTTTTTGTGCAAATTTGATGATGAATATGTTTTTTAGAATCTTTTATATTTCCTACACAAGTTAAAAAATCGTTTAAACTGGGAAAATGTTTTAAATATTATTAAGTGAAATACATTTATAGATAATTGAAACGTGTTAGAGAGTATAATGTACTACAGACTGAAATAACTTATTTTATTTGTCCAGAAATACTTAAAAATATACATGATCAATTAAAAATTTTTGAATGAGCTTTCTAGATTAAAGGGCCTATTTTATGTTGTAACTGTAAAAAGTATATTGAATAATCAAGAATTGTAACATCCAAATCCCACAGGTATTGTCAGGTGCATTGTTCAAATTGAGAGGTTGTGTGTGGTCAGTTGTATGACCTCTTCCATGGCTCTGAAATTTGTGACTTAGTCAACCTATATATATATATTTTTTAAATAAATCTTTGTTGTTCAGGTTATTACAGATGTTCCCGCCCCCATAGCTCCCTTCCACCTGGTTTCCACCCCACCCCATGCCCTTACCCCTCGCCACTGACCTCACCCATAGGTGTAAGATTTTTGTCCAGTCTCTTCCTGCACCCCCCACACCCTCTTCCCCTGAGAATTGGCAGTCCACTCCCTTTCTATGCCCCTGCTTCTATTATATTCACCAGTTTATTCTGACTTAATTTTTAGATTCTCTTGTTGATAGATATTTATTTGTTATCACTTTGTTGTTCATACTTTTTATCTTAACCTTTTTCTTCTT